TCATGGCGCCTATCATTAAGTTAAACCCATCTGATGAAAACTGCGTTTATTCTACACTAGTTATTTTACAAAACCAAGCAAAATTAATGAATTTACCTCCAAGTGTAACTTTTGATCAGCCTTCATGGTTAAAAGCTTACGAAACTGCACAGTAATTAGATATAGTTATTCGATTGGGAGGATTACATATCTTAATGAGCTTCCTAGGAAGTATTGGTATGGTCATGAAGGGATCAAGACTAAATACATTACTCAAACTTATTTATGCAAGCAACTCTGTCACGCATATAATGACTGGTAAAGCAGTAGCTCGAGCACTAAGAGCTCACTTCTTAGTTGAGTCTGCCTTAATGAGTCTACTTTTTAAACAAAGCCCCAAAGATGAAGCTAATAGTTCTCTAAAAAATATGTATCAGGATCTGGTCCAAGGAAACATGGATTTGGAAGAGATAAACAATAGCTGTGTAGATATAAGATTCACAAATCTTATTGAAAATTTAAAAATACAGCTTTCAAGTTCATTCAGAACAGCAAAGCTATGGTTGCAATATCTTGAATACATAAAAATTATCAAAATGTCCATCAGAGCAGAGAGAACTGGGAACTGGCACGAGCATTTGGAAGCCATCAGGCTTATGCTTAATTTATTTGCCGCAACAGGGCATATAAACTATGTTAAAAGAGCTCGGTTATATCTACAATCCATGCACTCACTTAATCCAGAACATCCTTGGCTTTATGAGCAGTACTGTAATTCAGGTTACCATTGTATTAGACGCACAGATCGATACTGGGCTGGTCTTTGGCCTGATTTAGTAATTAAACAGTGAATATTGAGATCAATAAAAAACAGCGGAGGCTTAAAGAGATAAAGGGTATGTCAGAGACTAAAAGGAATTTTTGGGTCAGTACCTTTAAAGAAAGCGGAGCAATCATGATTCATGTCAACATTGACAAAGCATCGTTTTGAGAGCAGTTAGCAACATTGTGAGTCTGGTGAGTCTCGGCGAAAAAGAGATACTAAAGATTTAAAAGTTTTAAAGGAAAAGCTCGAGCTGTTTAATCCTTTCGAATTTCAAGACTCAGGACTTCAATATATATTTACTGGCCTATGCGCTGATAAGGATGATGAAATCAATTGTGATCAAGCAGAAAATGTGGGTTTAGAGATTCAAAACAGTCTTAATAATATTGCAGTCAATCAAGCAATTATCAAGCGATCAAAGCAGGTCAAAACACTTGCCAAGTTAATGCCATCTGTTAAAGTTAATGGCAATGCAGCCTACGTAGATCCTAATGTTTTGTTCCAAAGAATAATCATGCTAATTAAAAGAGTTAAAGATTTGACTGACTCCTTCAAATATGAATTAACACCGGAGCCCACATCTCTCTTCAAAGATGGATTAATGAGGAAATCAAACAAAGCAGAACTTGGTAGAGAACTTATCAAGGATTCCACAATTTTAACAGAAAATAATGACATAACCTATATTCTTGACGGCGGAGCTTTGCTGCATTAAGTTGTTTGGAGTCTCCCAGCTTCATATTCAGACATTATTGAACAATATTGTACATATATTACAAAAAAGTATGGTAATCATACTTTATTTTTGATATTTACAAATCATCCATCAAAGATCAAGAACATCAAAGGAGAGGGAGAAAGTTTGTCAATATTATATTTCAACCAAAAAACCAAGTGAACTGCAAACAATCTGAATTTCTGTAAAACAGCAATAACAAAACTGCTTTGATCAAAGCATTGGGAATGAAGCTGAAAAAAAAATGCAAAGTAGATGCTTTAGTAGAATGCGAAGGAGATGCTGACAGAACCATTGCTACAAAAGGAATCGAGCTTGTAAAATATGGAAAATGTGTGACTATCATAGCTGATGATACAGACATTCTTGTGATGTTGGTTCATATGTGGGATCAAGCAATGTGTGAGATTTTTTTCGCCACAAATCTAAAAAAAGCATAAAAAAAAAAATGGAAACAATCAGCATAAAGAATGTTACATTATGTTTATCATATCACGTGAAAATATGTTTGTTGTTTATCCATGCATGGAGTGGATGCGATACTACCTCTGTGCTTTTTGGTCAAAGAAAAATAGCTGTAATGAAGTTTATTGAATCAAATAGTGAGTTTGCTGAATCTTTATATACAGTATTCCAAGATCCCTTTGCAACACAAGATCAGGTAGCTAATGTTGGAATACAAGTGGTTTTGAACATGTATGGTATGGCAAGGCAATGATCTTTTTTTTTTTTTTATTTATTTACAATATTGTTTATTGTATAACAACTATACGTCCATGTTGTTTTGAAGAGGTTAAATTTAGCTCAAATATTACTATAGGTGAAAAAAATAAACAAATTTCGCTAGCATAACTTAGGAAACAAAAATATATGATGTGGTGGCAACTTCCAAAAAAGGAATTCAGCCAGAATGACTACCACCAACCAAAACCGCGATCAAGTATCATTCGTTTTGAGTGTATTTACAAATGCAGCAATGGTTGGAAGTTAATATGGATGAAACAAAATGAGGATGGAGAAGGGAAAATAACGTTTTAGTACCTATTCCCAAACATCACTGAATAACCAACCTGATAGTCCAAAATTACCGTGTCGAAACTTTTTTTTTTCCTTTCTGACCAGCTTTTTTGAGGTCTGGCTTTTTCTCATTGTCAGGTTCAAAAACAATTGTCTTATAGAAACAGATTTTAGCGTTGTACTGCATATATATGTTTTATTTAAATATTTACACTAAAAAACCCGACCAAACAAGATTGTTTATTTTTTGCTGACAAAAAATTCATTTTAACAGGTTTACTGTTACAATTTTTATAAAGAAAACTATTGTACATGCAGATTTTGCTTGCTTGTTAAAAAAGGTGTCTGACTGTGTCAACAGTGTGATAATATTTTGTGTTGAAGGCATTTGGGTATTTAAAACAACGTATTTATTTGTTTTTAAATGTTATACTACCAGGGTATCTCACAATCCTCGGTTAACAAATTACATGTCTTTACGCGAGTAGACAGCACTTGATTTATTCTAGCTAGGAGGTTGTTTTTTTTTGCATTCACAGCAGCACTTTCTGAAGTAGCAGCACTGTCTTATTAAGTTTTTCTTTAATAAGTTTTAGGCAACTTTTTTTTCAGACCATCAGCAGCTTATTAGGACTAATTACCTGAGCACATTAATAACATCTCTATCATGACACATACGCAACATATTTTTTCTCTCGGTGTTTTGATGTTTTTAGAAATTTTAGCTTTTTAAAAAACTGTTCGTTTGGTAAAGTGTATAATATCGTTAGATATGTTTGTATATAATCTCAACAAAACTTCAAAAGTATTTTATATTTAAAAATAATTGCTAGTACGTTGTCAAAACAAAAAATTTTAAAACTATATAAAATTTTTTTTAACGGAAATAAATGTTATATATCAAAATTAAGGAAAGCTTGACGCAATCCAATTTTCAAGGGAAAATCAAACTGTAAAACTTGATAAATGTTTCAGTTTTAACATTATTTTATTTGAAGTTTACTTACGATATTTTCATACACTTTCGTTCACGTTTGTTTACAACAAATTGTACTGCGACTCTTTCTCGCCACTACCTCGGTTGCAATAGCCCCCAAGAGTTCCGTGTCAAACACGCTCTAAGGGGCACTACTACTAACACTATTAAGTTCCGCAATAATGTACAGAGATATTAAGTTTTACAGTTTTACTTTCGCTTGAAAATGCGCATTGCGTCAACCTCTCCTTAATTTTTGATCTACAGCATTAATTTTTGTTAGAAAAAATTTGTATATAGTTTTAAAATTTCGATCATCAACGTGCCAACATGGCCGAGTAGTTAGCACGAGTAGTTAGTTTGTAGATTTTTAAAATACAAAATACTTGTGAAGTTTTATAATGATTATATACAAACATATCTAACGATATTATACACTTTAACAACAAAAAAAATTTTTAAAAAAGCTAAAAATTCTATAGGGGAAACTGGGGTAAAATGGGGTAGTAGGGCAAAATGGGGTTTTGAAAATACACCCCATTCAGAGCCTCAGAGCATCGAAAAAAATATTGGATTTGAAATATCGCGAGAAGAGACGTTGCCATCTTTTACTTTTGTTCACGTTTTCTTCAAGTATCGTCGTTGATAGGTAAATACAATTTTGTCAACTTTTTCATCTTATTTTTTAACATTATATTTTAGGAAGCAGCTTCTTTGTAATTAAAGCTTTGAGTTAAATATATCATTGTTCCTGAATGATATTATATATTAAGCAATTAGGACTCTTATATATTCATGAGATTTGCTCTGCTTTGTTTTTTCGAACAGTTTTATTATGCCTCCTATGTTGGTATAACATGGGGTGTCTCAAAGGGGAAAAATGGGGTACTTCCCCATTTTGCCCCGGTAGTGTTATTTATCTAAATTATAGAAATGAGATGTGGTTTATATTTAAACGTGATTCTATTTTTTTAAATTACTAATAGACTCAATAGGCCTGCTATAATTTTATTAAATAGGCTAGGTTCTTTTAATAAATAATACTAATACTTAATACTAGTCTATTTTTAAAATATAATTTTATTGTTGTTAAAGTTCAGTTAAAGTATTATTATAGCCTATACTATAGAACTATAAATATAAAATAAGAAAGTCAAGTTTAATCTAAGTCATCTATGTTGGAAATCTCGTCTAAAGAGCAATTAACGGGTTATTTTGCAATAGAATTTCATACGCACGGGCTTAGAAGAACGTAACGAACTTATAAACGTGAAAAACCAGTTTTTAAACAAGTTTTCAAAACCACTTGGGAATTGCGCATCTCACGTTATATGTAAAGCTATTTTGTAGATTTAGTTAGTGATTCGCAGTCAGTGGAGTATAACGTTATAAACGAAATATATATATCTTAAACAAATAGTGATTCACTTAGTGTCTCAGGGAAACATAAAATAAATTCCCCACATCTAAGTCTAAGTAGTCTAGCTAAGTAAAAAAATAATTCTGAAATTTTATTATAATAATAGTAGGCCTATTTGTTTAGTTCTTACTGAATCGTACTTAAATTGCTGATATTAAAGTTGTTTTATTTTATTTTTTCAGATTATTAACTTTGAAAAAAATGAGAAATTAAAAAAGAATATCTGAACGCCAAACTTGGAATGAAACCGAAATGCAGCAGGCCGTACTGTCTGTGATCAATGGTGATCATGGGTATAAAAAGGCAGCTGCAATGTATGGTGTGCCACAGACAACCCTCGAACGCAGAGTGGCTAAATTTAAGAAAAATCCTGATATTGAGGATGCTTGCAAAAAGAGTAAGTAAATGGATTAAGCACAATCTAAATTTAGGAATTTTTCACATTTTTAAATATTAAATTAAATGCCAGAAAATAGGCTATGGTATATGTTCTAAATAAATGAATTTGTATGAAAAGCATCTTTATTTAGTTAATTCTAATTCTAATTTTTAATTTTAATTTCTTTTTCAGCGCTAGGCGCATTCAAAACTATCTTTACATTGGAAGAGGAGGCAGAACTTGTTCAGTATGTTCAGCAGATGGAGAAAATGCTTTTTAGCCTAACCTCCTATGAGCTGAGAAAACTTGCCTTTGAACTAGCTGAAAAAAATAAAAAGGCTCATAAACTTAATAAAGAGTTGGGGGTGGCCGGTTACGACTGGTATCAGGGTTTTATGTTGAGACATGCCAATTATTTGTCACTGAGAAAGCCTGAAGCGACATCTGAAGCAAGAGCAATGGGCTTTAATAAAGTAGCCGTTAATAAATTTTTCGAGCTTGTTGAGAATGTCATTGACATAAATAAAACTGATGTTGAAAGAGTATGGAACGTCGATGAAACAGGAATTTCTACTGTCCCTAAGTCGCTGTCAAAAGTTATTTCCACAAAAGGAAAAGAGCAAGTTGGCTCTCTTACATCTGCAGAAAGGGGTCAACTTGTTACAGCAGTAGTTTGCTGTTCAGCAAGTGGGAGATACATGCCACCTATGTTAATCTTTCCCCGTCAGCGCATGAAGGCAGAGTTGATGGATGGAGAACCTCCTGGTGCTTGGGCAGAATGCCACCCAAGTGGATGGATCCAGACTGATTTATTTATAAATTGGTTAAAGAAATTTATATTACACACAGGAGCCACAAAAGATTCACCAGTTCTTTTAATATTAGATGGACATGCGACACACACTAAAAGCATAGAGCTTATTGACATTGCCAGAGAGAATGGTGTCATTCTCCTTTGTTTGCCTCCACACTGCACTCGCAAAATGCAACCTCTTGACATTTCGTTTATGAAACCTCTGAGTACATTTTATGACCATAATTTAAGGAAATGGTTAAGAACAAATCCTGGGCGTGTGGTAACGCAATTTCAAATTGCATCACTGTTTGGTGCGTCGTATCTTGATGCTGCTACCATGACTAATGCAATCAATGGATTTAAAAAAGCAGGTATTTGGCCAGTGGATTGGTCAGTATTTACGGATGCTGATTTCATAGCAGCGGAAGTAACAGACATGAGCATTATTACTGAGGATACTGAAAGTTTTGTTACCACGGATTCAGCCCTTCCACTGTCTCTGCTCCTGCCACTAAACCTTCAGATAGCACATCAACCACTGAACCTTCCACTTCATTTACCGGTAGCACATCCGCCACTGAACCTTCAACTTCATGTAGGCCTAGCACATCAACCACTGTACCTTCAAGCTTTGCAATCTTGCCACGTCATTTGCGGCCCAATACAAAACAGGCCCAAAAAAAAACGTATTTCTAAACAAAGAGGAAAAACAGCTATTTTGACTTCTTCGCCTTATAAAAGATCATTAATGGAAGCCAAAGAAAAAAAGAATCCAAAGAAAAACAAATCTGTCAAAAAATCAAATGAAGACACACCATGCCTCTATTGTGAGGATCTTTATTCCAGCAGCACAGAGAGTTGGGTCTCATGTACTGAGTGCCACAGATGGGCCCATTATTCTTGTGCAGGCATTGATGAAAGAAACAAAAAACCTTACTTACTAAACCTTCAGGCGACCTAATTTTTTTTAAAACAGTAAGGGGGTTTAAAAAGTATGTTTTATATAATAACATAAATAAAAATTTTAATTTCATACTTAAATTAAACCATTTTTTTAAATTAAGTACTTTTAAAAATAATTAAAAGTTTAAGTAGAAACTTAAATGTTTGTACTATAGTTTTTTCACTTTCAATAAAATAAAGTTATACTTAAAGTAAACTTTTTTCTTTAAATTAAAGATTTTTCACAAATTTGTGTGTTTTAAATACTCTTCAATCTCCTTGTTTATTATTTATTTGAGATTTTTTGAACCTTTTGATATCTTCATTCTATAGTTGTCAAACTTGAGGCTAAACTTTAATTCATTTCCTAATTAAACACAGATTTTTTTATATATTATTTTTTATTTTTTTTTATATATTATTATTTTTTATTTTTTTATTTTTTTATTCATGTTCTTTATAATATTTTTTAGCTCATTGTGGTGATTCACGAACTATTGCATCACTTGGTGGTATTGCACAAGAACTTTCACATGATCATAAACCTAATGACGAAGGTCACAAAAAAGTGTTATGTTTTGAGAATAAAAATATTGTTTAGGACATGAAATGTTTTTTAATATTTTAAGTTCTAGTTCCATGCAAGAATATTTGTAAAGTTATCTCTGTATAAATCAATATAATACAAGTTGTAATCCAAAATCAAAATTCTAATTTTATACTTAAACTAAACCATTTTATTAAATTAAATATTTTAAAAATAATTGAAAGTTAAAGTTATTTAATATTGATACAATAAAGAAATTTAGATTTTTACTGCTACTTTACCACGCTCCCGTTACACATTCTAAACCGAGTGCGCAATAATGACAGAATGTAGATAACCATCAAAATAGTATTATACTCTATTATTTTTTGGCGTTATATAATTTTTGGCTCATCCCTAATCTAAACTTTTAAATAAGGGATCGTCCATAAATTACGCAACGCTAAATTTCACTAATGAACAAAACAAAAAAGATCAAAATTTTCCCTCGCCGATTCGTATGTTAAATAAAAAATCAAAATAGCTCATCAAGTTTAATGAAAATCGCCACCTAAAAGAATTGAAGATCAAAAAAAGAAGATAAAATGCTAAAGATCTCCTTCTTCTTTTTTAAAAATAAATTTAGCTATAGTTATAAAAAGAATAGCCTGGAAATGGAGGCTGTTGTTGGTGGTCTGCGTATATAAAGTGCAAAATAAACTTTGATGATGGTTGAAAGTTCAGATAATTTGAATCATTTTGAGCCAATTTTTTAATTGCATCAAGACGAGCTTGATTATATTTTTACTGTTATTGACCAGGATTTGTTAAAAAATCATGCATTCAAAGCACGTTGTTGCTAAAAAACAACATGCTCCAGATATACCATAAATAACACATTTTTATATATTTATTATATCGTCGCATCAGGTTTTCAGATATTTATAAGGAAGAATACTATCAACTGTATATATCTATTGTACTTGTTGCTTAATATCAAAAAAGCAATGATTTGACTGAGCACAAACTTGTCAATACGCATAAACAGATCAGGCTTGTGGAAAATAAATTTTTTTTTTTGGTGTAATTTATTTCGCCGTTAAAGAATGTTTACATTGCATATACATATATCAAAATTAATGGCAGGAGCAAGAAAAAGACACAGTTTGCCTTATCGCCGAGCCCCACATATAAAAAAAAAACTCTACATAACCGTAACATTCAAATATATATAATACAAATATATAAAATATAGATCAGAATTAAAACAGAAAATAACTGAGAAAATTAAGAAATTCAAAATAGCAAATAATTAAGAATTGTTGAAATGCTAACAACCGCTAAAATATTTAAAAACCATTTAAACAAAAAGTTTTGAATAAAAAAAAATTTCATAATTAACATTATCACAAGATGAATTTTTAACATCATTACTTAAATTTCATTGATATAAATAAATTTGTTTTTATTTGATTAAACTTTAAAATAAACATTTGAATTCAGATAAATTAAGATCCCTGAACAGTAATAATTGTTTTGATTCATTTTTAAATTGCTCTAATGTAGTCTTATTTTTGTTGACAATATCTGGGAACTTTTTCCACAGATAAGGTCCGCGATATTTAATTGAATTGGAGGTTAATTTTAAATTATACTTGAGAAGAACAAAGTTGTTATCAGAAAACTTTGTTGAATATTTATGATTAATTTTATTAAAATAGGTTTGAAAAATTATTGGGGACAATCCCATTTTTGTTTTAAACATAAACAATAAAACTTGGTGTAAATTGAGTTTATAAACATTTAAAGCACCGAGTGTACGTAAAAGTGGTTCACAAGGAGTATTTCTGTAGGCTCCAAACACTATTCTGCATGCATGTTTTTGTTTGTTGTAGATTTTCTTAAGTTTTGTATAGCCAGTACTAGCCCACACAATATTACAGTAAGACAAATAACTGTGAATAAAGGCAAAATATAATTTTTTCAGGGATGCTACATTTAAAAAAGGTTTAGCCTTAAACATCATAGCGATATTTTTTGAGAGTGTTGTTTCAATACTATTTATATGTGAATACCACAGTAAATTTTCATCCAGTTTTACTCCTAAAAAGTTTACGTTTGTTTCCCTTTTAATATAAGTATTATTAATTATAAGGTTTGGTAATTTTAGAGGAATATTTTCTGATTTATTTACTTTATGGAAAAGTATATATTTTGTTTTATCCACATTTAATGAAAGTTTGTTACTTACGAACCATTCATTAACTTTACATAACTGTTCATTAACTATGTATAACAGTCATTATCAAAGGCGTTAGATATTTGATTAGAAAGTTCAACTATTGCATGTTTAGTAGAATTTTTTTTTCAAAACCAAATTGCTTGCAATACAACATGTTGTTCTCAGTTAGATAATTATATATTCTATTATACATTATTCTCTCTAGCAATTTTGAAAAGCAAGGTAGTATGGATATAGGCCTGTAGTTTAAGATATCTGACTTATCTCCAGATTTAAAAATTGGTGTTATACGGGCAATTTTTAGTTTGTCAGGAACAATACCTGTTTTAAATGAAAAATCAAAAACATGAAATAAAGAAGGTTCAATAATATCAAATACAGATTTGACAATATCAATACTAATTTTATCAAAATCTTCGCTTTTTTTACTTTTGAGACTGCTAAATGCAGCTCTCAGCTCGCTAAGTTTTAAATTAGTTTCGTCCATAAGTTTGTCATAAGTTTTTAAGTATGAATCAAAAGGAGTGGAGTTAGATGGAATTTTAGCAACCAATTTTGGACCAATATTTACAAAGTAGTTGTTTAGTTCTTCAGCTATAATAGATTTATCATAAACTAATTTTCCATTAATTAAAAGACTTTTTGGCAGAGTGTTTTTTTTGTAATTATTTTTCCCAATTAAATCCTTAATTACATTCCATACTTTTTCAGTGTTTCCGTTGGGTTTTTTTAATAACTGAGCATAATAAAGTTTTTTTGAGCATCTTTTTATTTTTTCGAATATATTTTTGGTAATTTTTATAAGTTATTTCATTTTTATAAGATTTTTTTTTAAGATAAAAAAAACTTATAAAAATGAAATAAAATTTCTTTATATATAATTTTTCTTTCTTTTTTTAAGATTTTAGTAAGCCTATTGACATCCAGAGACTTTGAAGTGATTTGGTATTTATGATTATTTCTTTTTCTGAAAACGCTATTTCATATTGCTTGCAAAATTGACTAAAAAACAAGTTATAAGCATTGTTAGCATCACTTGATTGCAAAATTAAATTCCAATCAACATTATTTTTTAAACAGCATTTAAAATGCTTTAAGGAGTTTTCATTGATCTGTCGCCGAAATATTGTGGATTTTGTAGCAGTATTGTTAATTAAAATGTTATTGGTTGCTAAGAATGTTGGAAAATGATCCGATAAATCAGTCTGAATTATACCTATACCGCGGCGTAAAATTTCTCCTAAAGTACCACCTTAAGGAGAAATTTTACACCGAAATTTTACGTCTAGTAAAAAAATAAAAAATACAATTTGATGGAAAGTTTATTTTATTTTTTATCATAAGTTATATTAGTATTATTGAAAAAAAAAGTTATAAAAATAAGTTATATTAGTATTATTGAAAATTTTTTTTTTTTAATGTTTTTTAGTGCTGAATCAGCAAAAAAATACTTAAATCATCACTTTCTTAAGACAAAGAGTTCTAGTTATCTGTACATTTGTTTTGCATGATGTTTGGTTTTTCATGCAGGATATATATAGTATGTTAACCAGTAAAAACTTATAATTATGTCTAGATCCATAATGGCAGCTCTACGTATTTGGGGAAACTAAAAAAGGGGTAAAATTCAAAAAAAGACTATCTCATAATTCCTCAAATACTCAAAGAATTAAATAGATTCTGATTCACATACTAACTTATATAAAGATGAACAAATCCTAAAAATTTCATTCAAAAATAGTTTATAGAAGCTGAGATATGCTTGTTTTAAGTCTGAAATATCACAAACAGAGAAAACTAACAAAATAAAAATACAAAAATTAAAATGATCCTTTAGAATAACTTCTCCTCCTCCTTCATGTTGTTTTTCTTTATCAATAAATAATTTTAAGCTTTAAGTTTCTTCATTCTTAAGAAAGTTTATGTTTTCAAGTTTGGTTAATAATTTTTGCCCATAATAACCAAAAAACATTGTTGCTAAGGGCGTTGCTAAGGGAACAAACTAACTAATTTCATTATAGGAAGTAAATTTTTTTTTAAATCCAATTAAAAAAGATGTGTAAAAGTTTATATTTTCTGAAAGGGCAAAAATTTCTCTTTTAAACTACAATAAAAACAAAAATTTGATTTTTTACATATTTTTTACTAGACGACCACCTTAAATACTCTTCCGCGACAAAATCGCTCATTTTAATAACCAAATTTTAAATTATTTTGAGACTTGGCTAATTTTCCATTGTAACTTTAATGATTGGTGTAATAATATTAATGATAAAGTTTTTTTATTTTGAGTTCTAGAAAATTGTTTGAAAATACAAAAAAAATTATGCAGGAATAAAAAAATTTTTTTTTTGAAGTGTTGGTAAGATTTATTATTGTTTAAAAGTAACTATGCATAATATGTAATATTGTCATAGAAATTGTAATAATCTGAAGGCAGGGTAGTTTTCAAATCCAGAAGGTCATGAAATTTCTTGTTTTTAATTTTCAATCTTTTGGAGTACAGATAAGGCAACTGTTCAATATCCTTAGTGGCAATAAGCTTATCACGACAATGCGGTAGCAACAGTCACTCATCTGTAAACCTTAGCTTATAGTAGATGTTGCTATCCATGTTATATTGTAAGCCACGAATATTAGTTACCTTAAAAACATATTTTCTGTTAGTAATAAATCCAAATACCTTTAAGTTAAAAAAATTAAACGAGTTAAAGAAAAAAGTATGTTAATATTTGATAAAACAATACCTTGGGGTCCCTTTTCATTTTTCCAGGTCTTATTGATTTATAAAATTTGATTGAGTCAAATGATTTGAAAAATGAATACGTCAGATAAGAAACGTCATAGGGTTCTGGTTTTTTCCGAGCACTTC